ATATTTATTTTAAATCTGAAACTCACGTCATTGAGAAGCTGTAGGGCCTCCATGCCTTGAAGCAGAGACTTGAAATTTGACAGGGCATTGTTTTACTGTCAGGGCTGTGCCATTATGGGTTGATTTTCATAGGTAGAAAAATTTGGCCACTTCTGAACTTCTGAAAATCATTGTGCAATCAAGTGTTTCTAGAGTTTGTAATGTAAAATATGTAAAGTTTTTTTTGTCTACAGTTAAAACTACGCAGGAGCTGAGCATTAGGCCTGTGCGAGTAGACAGGTATTCGATCAGGCTTCGGATCCAGCAGCTTCGGATATCAGCGATCTGATCCAGCCAAAGTGGCTCCTGAGTTTTGGAGCTGCCTCAGAGATCCAGCCATAGGGTATAATGGAGGATCAGTGAAATATCTATAACTTTGTTGTTTTGTCTCTGCTTTGGATGAAACCTGCAGGGGTGGTAGCCTCTGCTGAGAGCATGAAGCCTGCCAAGTTTCAAGAAGATAGGTGCAGGGGCTTGGGGGGAACTGCACCTCAAGCTGCTGATGGGTAAAACTCGTGATGTGGGTGGGTGACACTGTGTGTGTGTGTATGTAGGTTCACCCTTCCTGGCCTTGAGGCCTCTGCACAACACAGCAGTGTGCCCCAGTGAGGCCTCCTCCTCCCCTACAGCCTCACACCCGCTCCACCACTTTACGTGACAACAGGTAAAATAACTTGGCTGGCTCAACACCAGTAGCATCAGCAGCAGCGGCAAAGGTACCCAAGTGAACCTGTCACAGAGCCTCTCTTTTTATAAAGAATAACAGGGTGCCTCCTCTGGGCTGATCTAACCACGGCCCGCCTGTTTCTGGGCTAACCACCCACCTTCTCACTCACCACACCTTGTTGGCAATTAATTAATAGATGTTAATCAAGTGGGAGGCTGCCTGTTTCCTGCCCCGATGCCAGGGGGCGCTGTCTGCAGCTCCATTCCTCCCCTACACCACAGCCCAAGCCTCGCAGATGGCATCTCGCTGTTATTATCATCACTGGGCCCCAGAATCCTTCTAATTGAACCCCCCCTGGATTCCTCCCCTCAGGTGGTCTATTCCACCTTCATGCCAGGCAGCATAGCTCCCTGAACTGCTTCCGCTTCGGGTGTGGTCCCCCCAGGACCTTTGGCTAGTAGCCCTGGCCCACCTCCAGGCCAGTCAGAGCCCCAGGCCTGCAGCTCTTGGGCGTTCCTTGCGGTGGTCCCCTGGCCTTTTGACCCTTCCAGTCCTGGCCCCAGTGTTGACCAGTCAGGGGAAGTTCAGACAGACATGAGTCTATGGCCTCACTCTTTCTCCATGGGGTCCACCTTCCAAACAAGGGGTAACCCACCCAGTTGTGGGAGCTAGGGGTTAAGGTACCCTGACCCACCTTTCACCAGGGTGGTAACTGGCCTGGCATTTCCTGGGGGCTCCCGTGCCACTGGGAGTCCCACCAGGCCACCCACTCCCAGCAGGGTGCAGTTTTAGGTCATACCTAGGACCTGGAGCATCCTGCCCATCCCCTAC